AATGTGTTTAATATTTTTATATTAAAGGCTTTTTTAGTGCTGCAGCTTAAAGACGCCTCTCATATAGAGAATGAAGTCTCATGCACTGCTCGGGTGTGAGTTTCTCACAGACTTCCACAGAGATGAAAATCTTGATGCTTCTGTGGGTCTCGTCTATCAAATCTGAACTTTATTTCATATTCTCTATTGGATTCGGCTCAGGTGATTGGCTGGGCCATTCTACAGCTTGATTTTCTTTCTCTGAAAGCATCTGAGAGCCTCCTTGGCTGTGTTTTGGATCATTGTCTTGCTGAAATGTCCACCCTGGCTCATCTTCATCCTCCTGCTAATGTAGATGTTGGACTGAAGCAGCTGATATTCATTTACACTGAGGAAGAGCAGAGTAGAACTACTGAGAGATTTCAGCTGCTGTCTGGGCTTTCACTGCTGAACTACACCTCCCTCTCTTCATGTGTTCAATACTTTTTTCCCTGCGTCATTTCATTTTATTACACATACCTTCATTTATAAACTAATTATTATTGTGTTTGCAAATCTGGATTTATTTGGTTGTTACCAACATCCGGGGAAAATTTCAAGTCAACAGCACCCCACTTTATTAATTACATTATCTCCATGTCAATAGAGGCTTTTTAACCTTTTCACTAAAGTTTTTATGTATATCTTTAAGAATCATTAATATACTCTTCAATTAAACACATTGTACAGTATTAAATGGCAGACTACCTCAAATCTTCTAGATTTTGTGTATATAATATACACTCTCACCGGCCACTTTATTAGGTACACCTGTTCAACTGCTCGTTAATGCAAATTTCTAAACAGCCAATCACATGGCAGCAACTCAGTGCATTTAGGCATGTAGACATGGTCAAGACGATCTGCTGCAGTTCAAAGCAAGCATCAGAATGGGGAAGAAAGGGGATTTAAGTGACTTTGAATGTGGCATGGTTGTTGGTGCCAGGCTGGTCTGAGTATTTCAGAAACTGCTGATCTGCTGGGATTTTCACACACAACCATCTCTAGAGTTTACATAGAATGGTCTGAAAAAGAGGAAATATCCAGTGAGCGGCAGTTCTGTGAGCGCAAATGGCTTGTTGATGCCAGAGGTCAGAGGAGAATGGCCAGACTGGTTCCAGCTGACAGAAAGGCAACAGTAACCCAAATAAGCACTCGTTACAACCAAGGTCTGCAGAAGAGCAACTTGGAGCACACAACACTTCCAACCTTGAGGCGGATGGGCTACAGCAGCAGAAGACCACACCGGGTGCCGCTTTTGTCAGCTAAGAACAGGAAACTGAGGCTACAATTCACACAGGCTCACCAAAACTGGACAAAAGTACTACTACTACTTAGTACTTGTAACGCGTACCTAATAAAGTGGCCGATTAGTGTGTAATATTGTATATATAATAATAAATAAATGAAAGTTTACTTAAAGGTTTGAAAAAAGGACTTTTCATGATGTCAAATTAAAAATGTAAGTATTAGTTTTTATAATCTTGTGTCATGATTTAAAGGCAAAATAATTTTGATCTACAATGTGACATTACATTAACATCACATTTAAATGTAATATATTTTTATATATATTATAATAAAACTTAAACCTAACGGTAAATTTTATAAAAAGTGCTACAAATTGAATAAATGACAGAAAAATTAAATAAATAATACATATACAAAAAAAAACAAGTAAAAAACAACCAACAATTTTAATAAATGAAAAAACTAATGGCCTTCATAAGGTTGTTTTATATTTTAGGCACAGACTAACATTATTTTAGAATTCTTCTTCTTATTATTATTATTATGTTAATATTTTACCACCAATGCATGTCAGTACATTTATCAGCATAAAATAAAATGAGGATATTGCAATAAAGATGCACTTTAGTGGGTCAAGAGGCTCTCTATAGTTTAGCTAACCGAGTTTAATAATTGTAAACTATTAAAAGTACAATAATATAATAGTGCTTATTACTTCCTTAATACTATTTAAAAAATATGCATAATAAGTGCTTTAATTTATCCATCCATTCCTGCTACTCTCAGTGCTTTACAGATGCGTAAATGTCATCCTATTAAGTGTTTATTACACTCTGTACTCCTAAATACTGTAGTATAAGCTGTTAACACAGACTCATAATGCTAATCAAGCACGCACAGATTTGAATGCATTTGTGTTTAAACTGAATCAGAGAGCAATCATGTCAATCAAACATTCTGGCATGGCACCAACACGACTGCTAACAATTCAACCTGCTCAGTGTCTGTGATTTTGCTGACTGGAAACGTATTTTATGAGACAAACTCAAGTAAACCACTGGTGAGCGAGGTGTTGTGTTTTATTCACACTCGTAAAGCTGCTGCTTATAGAGTGTGTTTTCTTTCTGTCTGTTTTTTTTACAAGTTTGGTTTTCATAAAGGCGCTTATTTATGGTCAGTCGTGTTGTTTTATTCTGGTTTAAAGAAAACAGCTCCGTATTAGGGCTTATTTTTGGTTAGGGAAGGCGCTTGTGTTGGCCTGCTTTTTCTAGTGAGATCTGGCAACACAGCTCTCTCTCTCTCTGTGGACTGTATTGTATGAGATCCCAGAGACCACAGGGGCTGATGGGAAAAACTACAGTGGATGTTTGGAGTACATAAAATCTTTAATTACATTTTAGTACCAATTCTCAGTATTAATAGTGACTTGCCAGTTATTACTATATTGACTGCTTATTAATCCTAATAAAAGCACATATTCTGCATCTTATTCCATAATCATAACTAATACCTAAACCCAATTACAACCTTAATAACTATTAATAGTACAAGCAATTTAGGAGTTTATTGAGCTAAAATTCATACATAATGGTTTAAAAATAGCAAGAATTACATCTTAAAATAAAGTGCGACTCAGTTTTCTACTCATTTTATATGCAAAAATGCTGTTAATCTAGGAAAAAGTAATAATAAACCCAACGACAACCTTAATAACGATTAATAAACAGCAAATTAGGAGTTTATTGAAGCAAAAGTCATACTTAATGGTTTATTAATAGCCAAAAATATACCTTAAAATAAAGTGTGACCAAGTTTCTAACTTATTTTATGTGCAAAAATGCTGTTTATGAAGGAAAAAGTAATAATAAACCCAATTACATCCTTAATAATTATTACAAACAGCACACTAGGAGCTTATTGAAGCAAAATTCATACTTAATGGTTTAATAATAGCAAAAATTATATCTTAAAAGAAGATGTGACCCGTTTTCTTCTCTTTTTATGTGCAAAATTGCTGTTTATGTAGGAAAAAGTAATAATAAACCCAATTACAACCTTAATAACTATTAATAAACAGCAAATTAGGAGTTTATTGAAGCAAAATTCATACATAACGGTTTAATAACAGCAAAAATTATATCTTAAAGTAAAGTGTGACCCAGTTTCCTTCTCTTTTAATGTGCAAAAATGCTGTTTATGGAAAAAAAGTAATAATAAATTCAACTACAACCTTAATAACTATTAATAAACAGCAAATTAGATGTTTATTAAAGCAAAAGTCATGCTTAACAGTTTATTATTAATAAAAAAATATACCTTAAAATAAAGTATGACCAAGTTTCTAACTTATTTTACATGCAAAAATGCAGTTTATGTAGGAAAAAGTAACAATTAACCCAATAACATCCTTAATAATTATTTACAAACAGCAAATTAGGAGTTTATTTAAGCCAAATTCATACTTAATGGTTTATTAATAGCAAAAATTATATCTTAAAATAAAGTGTGACTCAATTTCCTTCTCTTGTAATGTGCAAAAATGCTGTTTCTGTAGAAAAAAGTCATAATAAACCCAATTACAACCTTAATAACTATTAACAAACAGCAAATTAGGAGTTTATTGAAGCAAAATTCATACTTGATGGTTTAATAATAGCAAAAATTATATCTTAAAAGAAGATGTGACCCGTTTTCTTCTCTTTTTATGTGCAAAATTGCTGTTTATGTAGGGAAAAAGTAATAATAAACCCAATTACAACCTTAATAACTATTAATAAACAGCAAATTAGGAGTTTATTTAAGCAAAATTCATACTTAATGGTTTATTAATAGCAAAAATTATATCTTAAAATAAAGTGTGACTCAATTTCCTTCTCTTGTAATGTGCAAAAATGCTGTTTATGTAGAAAAAAGTCATAATAAACCCAATTACAACCTTAATAACTATTAACAAACAGCAAATTAGGAGTATTTTGAAGCAAAAGTCACACTTAATGGTTTATTAATAGCAAACATTATATATTAAAATAAAGTGTGACCCAGTTTCCTTCTCTTAAGTAATAATAAACCTAACTACAACCTTAATAACTATTAATAAACAGCATATTAGATGTTTATTGAAGCAAAAAGTCATACTTAATGGTTTATTAATAGCAAACATTATATATTAAAATAAAGTGTGACCCAGTTTCCTTCTCTTAAGTAATAATAAACCTAACTACAACCTTAATAAATATTAATAAACAGCATATTAGATGTTTATTGAAGCAAAAAGTCATACTTAATGGTTTATTAATAGCAAAAAATATGCCTTAAAATAAAGTGTGACCCAGTTTCTAACTTATTTTATGTGCAAAAATGCTGTTCATGTAGGAAAAAGTAATAATAAACCCAACTACAACCTTAATAACTATTAATAAACAGCAAATTAGATGTTTATTGAAGCAAAAAGTCATACTTAATGGTTTATTAATAGCAAACAATATATATTAAAATAAAGTGTGACCCAGTTTTCTTCTCTTTTTAAGCTGTTTATCGAATATTCTAGAAGGCAAAGCATTAAAAATGATCTTTATAATCTTGAGGGTCAGAAAGACAATGGAAATGTATTAAAAAAAACAGCTAACTTATTAAAAATGCAGAAAAACTGTTGTTAAACAAAGACTTTCATGGAACCTGCATGTAAACGCAGCTTCGTTTTTGTGTTAAAATGGTCTGCAAATGTTAAATACCTTCACAGAGGATCCGGATGAGAGACTCGAGCTGGTCACTTTGAACGGTGTCGCTCTTAAACCAAGAGTCAGCTCTAGGGAGAAAAAACACACAGAAAAAAGCAGCGCAGTTAAGACATTTACAAGATTTAGAGGTGACTGAGCTTCTTAAGAACGTCTAATGATGGCGTTCGGTCATGCCACCCCAAGAAATATTTACACAGCAGTGTTTAGATGTTGAATAGAGCTTCAGTCAGAGTGGATGGAGGCTGAAGTGGAGCCTTTAGTCTGTTATGTAAGCTGCCACAATGGCACCACATAGGGCTCATAAATTAGCATGGTGGCATTACTGCTAATGTAAACACTGCTCTGCGCCCTCCGTCTTCTGCAGTGGGATGCAAGTGAACAGATATCAGCATGAAGTGTACAGATTAGGTTTACGACAGTATCAGATTTTTTGGTAGCGATTAATTACTGCTAAAAAGCTTTAAGCATGATATATGATCAACACAGGCACACTGTGGATATGTACCCAGGTCTACATTTCTGAGGACAGCGAAATATGTAACTGGAGGTATGTCTGCGTGAGGTTTTTGTTTTGCAAATCCACCAGAGGCCGCTGCGTACACCTTTTGATGATCTTAAATTTCTCTCGCGCGTCCTCTTCTCACGCAAGTCCATCAGAGGGCGAAATATACACTTCAGCCGACCAGGCCAGCTTGCTGTGGACCAACCGACCAACTGTCCATGGCATCATCATGACACCCCGTAATGATAGTTTCACAGATGAAATGAAGCCAGACGTAAATCTGGGTGCGTATTTTGTGATCTCCAGAAATGTAGACAGGGGTGCGTATTCACAATGAGCCTGTGTCGCATATGATAGGGCTGCATGATGTTTGAAAAATCTGATATTGCAACTTAATTTTTTTATTTTATTAGGATATGTATACAGTTTCACACGTTTTCTGGGGAGCCTAACAGTAGTCAGCTACAGAAATTAAATGATAGCAATGCAAAAATAAATAAATAAATAAATAAATAAGTATATACATAAATAAATTGGTGTTTTTACGCAGTTGTAAAGAAAATATTTCTTATTTTAAAAAATCCTGACTCCTGACAAAATAATTTTTAAAGGTATTTAAAAACTGGTTATATTAAAATAATAACAACAACAACAATAATAATATTAACAATAACAACAAAAATAATAATAATAATAATAATAATAACAACAATAATAATAACAATAATAACAATAACAATAATAATAACAATAATAACAACAATAATAATAATGATAATAATAACAATAATAATAATATTAACAATAACAATAATAATAATAATAACAATAACAACAACAATAATAATAATGATAATAATAACAATAATAATAATATTAACAATAACAATAATAATAATAATAACAATAACAACAACAATAATAATAATGATAATAATAACAATAATAATAATATTAACAATAACAATAATAATAAAAATAACAACAACCATAATAATAATGATAATAATAACAATAATAATATTAACAATAATAATAATAACAATAACAACAACAACAACAATAATAATAATAATAATAACAACAATAATAATATTAACAATAACAATAATAATAATGACAACAACAATAATAATGATAATAATAACAACAATAATAATAATAATAACAATAAAATAATAATTACAATAACAACAACAATAATAATATTGATAATAATAACAAGAATAATAATAATATTAACAATAATGATAATAATAATAATAATGATAATAATAACAATGATAATAACAACAATAATAATAACAATAATAATAATAATAACAATAATAATAATAATAATAATAATAATAATAATAATAATAAAAATTGAGCTAATACTAAAACGTATCTCTGTCATATTCATAAAAAAAAATCACTGAATTTGTATTAAATTTTGTTTGCTATGCCTATGGTAAAATATCTGTTTAAAAAAATTATGTTCATTACATATAATTAAAACAAAATGGCATTGTAAGTAGGGGTCTGCAGTAATGACCAAAAACTTTAGATTTATTTTAACAACAATTATGGAATATTGTGATAAATGTGCTTAATTATTTTATTTATATCAGATTTATTTGGCTCCATCATAAACTTCGACCCTTAAAGTACCCATTGACAAGCATTGTTAAATAACCAAGCACCATTAACTTCTCATTTATTACTTCTAAAGGCACAAATTCACCATATATAAGTTAAGAGTTTTGATTTTTGGTTGAATACTCCTTTACAAAAATACATGAATTGAACATACAGCATATAACTACAAATCTTGATTACTTTTCTCCAATCCAAGGACACACAATGTGTTTTTGAAGCAGTGGAACGGAGATGAAACAAGATTTTATTTTTTAAGCTAAATGTCATGCATAAAAAGCTGTAAAAGATGCGAGACTGAAGTACAACAGTGAAACAAACATGTCCATCAAATGGACGCCGGAGGTAGCAAAGTGTAATGGAAAAATGTTGTAAAGTGTGTTTATAACTTCAGTTAACAATACGATTATTTTAATGTTACTTTCATGTTTTATCCTGAGAGATCTGATTTATTTAAACACATAAAACCGTCAATAAATTCCCAATAAAACCTTTTTGACCAAATACACAAGAATCAAACAATGGAGCTGTTTCTTAAATAAAACAGAGCTCTCGTTTACCGCTATCTCGAATGACTGCGCGATATGGCAGTGTCCTAATGCGGTCCGGTCTGACGGTAAACACTCTTTTACTGCAGGTCTATAGCATTAAATAATTTCCACCGCCTGCAAGACCTTTCAGAGGCAAGGATGAGCAAAGCACTTCCAAAAAAGGAAGATCAGACAGAGCTGTGGCACAATGACAAATAAGGCCCGTTGATGATCCTGAGAAGAGACAGACAGACGGAGGGAGATATGATGAAACCAGAAGAATAGTGATTGTGTTTATGCGTCAGGCGGACCAAAGAGGGTGAATTATGATTATATGACGGGCCCTTGGGCACATATGCCAGTCAACTACTTATTTTATGCACTTAAAACTGTGATGTATACAGTAAGCTACAGTTTGCATGGTGCATATACACACTCGATAACAGTGTGTAAGATGCAGCTATATTTGGATAGGGATTCAACAGATATAGTGTATACGTGGAATAGATGGAAACTATTGACTTATAGTGACTAATAAACACACACACATATATATACATACGTTATATATACACTACCTGTGAAAAAGTCCTGTCGCCTATCCAAGTTTTAGAAAACAGCAAATAATATCTTGACTTCTAGTTGATCGTTTGGTATCAGAAGTGGCTTATATGAAAGGCAAATGCCTCAAGATTACGCTTATTTTACCACAATAAAATATGATCATGCCTTAATTATTTAATTAGGACAGTAAGGTCTGACTTTGCCTAGACTAAAGTCTCATCACTGAACAGAAATAATGTCCAGTATAGAATATAAAGTCCTGCTGCAGTGGAGACAGAATGAATATTGTGTCCGACTCCATCATGAGCTTGGAGGACTGCATCCATACATCTCTGACATGACTCAAATCACTGATTAATAAAGTCATCTGGAATGGCGAAGAAAGCGTTCCTGCAGGACTCCCAGGGTTCATCAAGATTTATCTTCAATGCCTCCTCCTTCATCTTGCCCCAGACATGCTCAATAATGTTCATGTCTGGCGACTGGGCTGGCCAATCCTAGAGCACGTTCTTTGCTTTCAGGAGCTTTGATGTGGAGGCTGAAGTATGAGAAGGAGCGCTATCCTGCTGGAGAATTGTCCCTCTGCTGTGGTTTGTAATGTAATGGGCAGCACAAATGTCTTGATACCTCAGGCTGTTGATGTTGATCATCCACTCTGCAGATCTCTCGACGCCCCCATACTGAATGTAACCCCAAACCATGACTTTTCCTTCACCAAAATTGACTGATTTCTATGTCAATCTTGAGTTAATGCAGGTTTAGGGTTGTAACGGTATGATTTTTTTACGGTATGATAATCGTCTAAAACAATACCACGGTTTGACGGTTTCGCGGTATACGGTATGTTACAAATGTTACAGGATAATAGAACAGTGAAGCAAATTTGACTTTTTCCAAATAATATATTTTTAGTTACTATAAACAACACCACTTACAATGAACAAATAAAAAAATAAGAAAATAATAAATAATGTGTCAAAGTCCAAATAAAGTCCAAATAAACATGGTGCAAATCCTCAGTAAAAAATAGATATAAATATTTACTATACTATAAATAGTTACATAACGAAACTAGATTCAATATGGAACATCCTTAGGTTTTATGTGCCAGCATGGATATGGTTGTCTGTGGATATGGATTTGGATATGGTTGTCTGCATTGCAGACAAACAGCTGCACCTTCATTTGTGTCTTTTGAAAACAGCAAGAGCAGCAGTTCGTCTTTGCTGTGTCACTGTTTTGTCATGTTTCTGTGCTGCTGTGCATGCAAAAGTACTTAGTATGAGAATTATTTCATGCAAAACTTTTTTTTTGCGTTTTATTTAGCCGCGCATAAATGTATGCCTATCTCTCATTCCGTGTTGTTCAAAAAGCTTGGTCCACAAACAAAAGTGAAACCTATGCTTATTGGTTGTGATATAGCGAGTTTGAACCAATCTGGGCATGGAGGAGGGACAATGCATCAATGTATGATGTCTGGTTTGTCCGGAGACACAGTGACGAGCGTTTCTTTGTCAAATCAGCGTTGTCAAATTTTGATGACGTAACCGCACTGATTCCGGAGCCTCCGGAGCCGCGAATGTTATGTGATACAGCACTGGAAAGCTGAGATTCTCTTCTTTATGCCAATCTTTGAATTGTATGAATCGGATCAGCGAATCAAAAGTTATTAAACATTTAAGAGCAATACTTATTTTTAGCCGCGGGCGGCTGTCGCGGTCTTTAAGGGTTAAAACCGTTGATATGCAATTGTTCATGGTATGATAATCGTGCACGTTCAAATCGTGGTAGACCGTCATACCGGTATATTGTTACAACCCTATGCAGGTTCCAG